TCGTCAGGTCTAGTGAGAACTGTATGAAAACCAGTAACTGACCTCGCCTTCAATATAAATTGGATCACCAAAAACGTCTTCTAACTCGAATGACATAGTTAAAGTTATGTTTTCTTCTGCCTGCAAATGATTGAACATCCTACTGTTTATAATTCGCTGAGTGTGTCTGTTGCTTGTCTGGGTGTGTGTATGTGTGTGTGTGTGTTGTGTGTGTGTATGTGTGTGTGCGTCTGTGCGTCGGTGTGTGTGTTTGTCCGCTAAATCATAATGAAATTAGGTAAGAGTACAGGCAACAGGATGGGGACACTCGCGGCAGGTAGCTGGACCAGACTCCGTCCACACGGAGGTGTGCGGGATATAGATTTTCTACCGCAAACTCATAACTCTTGTTGACCTGTACCTAGAGCGCTGAAATTTGGTAGGAGTACAGGGGCGGGATGGGAACACTTATGATGGGTAGCAGGACCAGACTCCGCTCACAGCGGGCTGGGTGTGCGTGATAGAGATTTTCTACCACAAATTCATAACTCCTGTTTAGTGAACCTCGAGCGCTGAAATTTGGTAGGAAGTACAGGGGACAGGACGGGAACACTGACGATAAGTGATAGAGGTGATAACAATTGGAAGAAGCTGACAGAGCGCCTTAAAAGGTGAGAGCCGCAGAATCGTTACCTCCTTCATGTTAACGGTGGAGCCTTGTCAATTTAGTAAGGGATGTGGATCGAAAAGGGACCGTAGATATTCAGCGATAGGAACTAGTAATAACTTTTCGAGACTGATATCGAGCCACAGAAGGCGAGAGCCATTAGGTCTACAACGTGTTTGATATTGGCAGTGGAGCACTTTGGTGTGTATTATGGGATGTGAAGGGACCGAAGGTGACTGGTGACAAGGACCGGTAACAATTGGGCCAGGGCTGATAAAGAGCCTAGACCTCCATGTCAACAGTGGTACCTTGGTATTTTAATAGGCGATGTAGGATGTGACGTGGTTGTTGGTACTCTAAGGCAGGAACTGATTACAATTGATAAGAGCTGATCAGGGGCCTCAGAGAGCGAGAGCCGCTTACCAATCAAACCTCAACGGTTTTGGTATTCACGATCAAAGATTGACTCTTTCATATGTTTCATTTAATAAGACAGGTGGAAGCAGTAGTAGAGACCGATCAAAGGTTTCTCCATAATGAGATGAAAACTTGGTTCATTCCTTGCCATCAGACTACGACCGCTACACAGCAAAGTTTGTGACCCAATGAAGTATTACGGTTGTTTGTTTTGAAATCATTTTTCGACAAAATTTATCCGACCGCCAATGATCTGGGATTCCCAATCAATGATAAACACGTAGAGAAAAAAGGTTCCCCCTATAGCGGTGTCTTATAATGGCGTTATTATTACTCAACAACATTTTTGAGTACCATTTATGGCCTTGTTCGCCTAATAGTTGAATCTCTAAAGGTAATTACTTTTAAGATGAAGAGCAGTAGATGGTCAAGATTTTTAATCATGGACGTGAATATCGCAGGACTAACAGTGCAATACCTTTCGCACTGCACTGTTAGTCCTGTGTCAACTTTCGTGTTCTGTAAAGTATCATTTATTCTGAAGAAGAGTGACGGTTTGGCCGATTATCACAACTTCGCCATAAGAAGGAGGGAAGCCCGGCGTTAGCCAGGCGAACCGACTGGTAATTCTAAAAGGGTGAAGAATAAAGTCTTTGACGTTAATCAATCCCTCTTTTGGGACGCCCCCTCGTATTCGACACCCATTCGGAATCGTAGTGGTTGATTGAATGCGTATGTAGCCTATACGATGGATAGCTGTGCCCAGCCAATGTACAAACGAGTGATTTTACCCTCCCAGTCTAGTCTGGTACCAGTTATCGACCCCGAAGGATGGGAGGATTGGTTTGCGTGGGTGAGTACTGTCGATCTGGAATATCGATCCCCACATGATGCGTATGAGACAGTGCGCCACTTGCCACTACACCGCCTCCAACCGTTATCGACTCACTCCAATAACTAAAAGCCAGTCAATTGTAGACTTCATTTCATTTCGAAAAGTACTGGCTGAAACGGCCCGTATCATGTGAGTTTCCATTTGAGCTCTAACTTAGCCTGGTGGAGGATGGGGAACTCTTTCGAGACTAGTTTTTGATTTTCCTGAGAGCAATAAGTTCTTAGTCTTGGATATCTGGTTTGTTTGTGATCCATCGAAGGTAGGTACCCTAAGTATAAATTCAGCCTTGCTTACTTCATTGTCTTCAGCGAAGTGAAAGGACGAAAGGATAAATGCACAATTTACCTCCTGTAATTCATCTGGGTCTGGATCAGCAGTTTTGAGTTTGGTTCTAGCCACAAGTCCTAACAAAGTATCTTTTCTCCTGACGTTCTGAAAATGTCATTCGGAAATTTTTCCTTGGTGGAAAGTAATTTGAAGACATCTCTATGTGGCAAATCCGTGAGATTCCAGAAATATCGTCAACACTAAGATTAACAAATTTATGAAACTTTTTCTTGAGTAGTTTCGTTGTCCTCAGTTCAAGCTGTAAGGCTGTGGAACTGTGAGACATTTTTTGCAGGACGGTAGGCTCTATTGTCACCTATGAGACGACTTTCCAGTGAATGACAATTTGACAGCAAAACTTAGCAAAAAGCATATGACGCAGAGCAGCGGCGAGAAAGAGTGTATATCTGCTGCATTACCGACAACAGGGGCTTCAGGATGAGATCCGCGTAGGCCCCGTACAGTGGGCGCATAGTTTTGACACAAACGTCCACTGTGCACCATTCCAGGTTCCTACGCAACATCCACAAGAATGAAGCGTGCAGGTAGGCACCCTTCAGTCGGTATCGACATCGGTGGGAGGGACCAAGGACCTCTGGTCTATCAGTCTGCTTTCTCTGCAGTGAAGCGGATCAACTTTCGGCAACCTAAGGAGGGTTTCTAACCAAAGCAAGCCAAAGCACTCCATCGAATGACCCGGTAGCAGAAGACTCTGAGAATTTCCCTCCCCTTGCGACGAGGCATTACTCGAGAATATGAACCCGATCAAACTAAGATTTCCCACTTGGCCATTGACAGTAAGTGGAAGCCTGACTTGAAATATGTAAAAGAATCATGCAAGTTAGTTAGGAGGAGAATCTACTTATCTGGGCTGCAGAAACCGGAACCGTCTTGCTCTAAAGCGGAGCCCTACAGCTGGCTTCCGTCATTGGTTTTGGTCTTATTTGGAGTTTCCACATACGACATCATAGGCGGAGCGAGTGAAGGGCCGATTTAATTGAGGAAAGAAGAACTATAGACCGCGTGCTGCCCCGGTGGACACCGCTCAAGCCCTTCAGTAAGAACCTTTTCAGTAGCGAGTGCTTGGAACGGTCCTTGGACTCTACTGCGCGATTTCTGTACCTATATAAACGTAACTGAAACTAGTGCATCTGAAGATGTCCATTTGAAGCATTGGAAACGATTCCTTGCCCCTTTCCCCGCTAGGTTCACAACCAGTTTTGCATTGTGCTCTATAGACGATATTCGCATCACCAACAGATTCTCACTTTATTTCCGATATTCGGAGGAGACTTTTTCCGTCCCACATGTTTCGCTGAATAACTCGATATAGAGGTAGAGGTAAGATATTCATCGGTTCCGACCCTCAGGCCTTCAAAAGCCTGTTCACGTTTCTAACGAACTACGGCCTTAAAACAGATTGTGCTCTGCACTTTTGTATAAATGCTCACTGCATTTTCCGGGTAGCCTCTCAAGTGAAATTACACTTACTCACTCTGCTATATGCATTATAATCGCTATTCTGGATCAAAGTATTCATCAAAGCTTTCTTCAAAATAGTTCTCGATAAATTCGAGTCTGGAAGATGGGAAGATACTGCAGAAGCAAAACTTTTGTTGACAAGGCACATGAACTTTCTCGTATGCTCTTCCATTCGTTCTTGGAGACCTTAAATGTCTAATATCGTGACCGTTCTGAAATGGGAGTAAGTAATCAACATTTCCCTAAAATTTTTGGAATTTTCTAGCAAAACAATCAAGTTGGAACATAAGAGTTGGAAAAGTTGAAAACGCATCGATCAGTGTACAGAGCTTAGTCTAGTTGATTAAGGTTTCAAACTCAACCTTGCCTAGAGCCCAGAACCCAACAAGTTGTCAGGGCGTCAAAGCGGCCAAAGACTACAGTGGTCCTCTGTATATTCAATACCCTAAATGGAGGTCCTTGTTGAGGATCCAGTGAGGTAAGCGTCACGTACGGCATCCTCAGGTTGACTACGACTAAAAAACAATCCCACCCCTCAAGTGGAAGTCCGGAAAAGGGTTGCTCGTCGGAATGTTCATCATCTGAGGCGTCGGCACCGTGGAAACTCACTCATTCAGAATCTTGTTGTCGAAAACAATGCAAGGACGGCAACCTCAAGATAACAAAATGGATGGCTCGATGTCGAGCTGAGAAAACTTTGTAGAGTATTTATCCTCCTGAGTTATCGTTGGCAACTTTAGGCCTTTAGAGCAAGGTTGGTTCAGAGTATGGTATGGACAACTTCGCTCCGGGACTAACGGAAAAAGAAGGGGTTGGGTTAGTGGGTTGTAGCTATATTGACCACATAGGAAACACCTTTCTACACAATGTAGCCTTCCTTGAGCCCTATACGATGCTTTGCGGTGATTAGGCAGTGTAAAAACCAAAGCTTCTACTATTCCAGACGGGCCTGGTACCAATAAACTGACCCCGGAGCGACAGGAGGCTTGGTTGGTCTAGACTCGTGTGGTTCCTAGACTCAATCCGATAGTCGTGGGTGTGATATTGCACCGTTTGCCATTACACTACACTACTTTTGGAGATTATACTATTTTGTTGGGGCATTTAATCTTCGCCAGTTACTTTCGCTGATTTAAACGAGATCTCCGAGAGCTTTTTGAATGGCAAAAGTAGGATGATATGCATTCGAAATGATTCAAAAAATTTCATTTGGATTGAACCAACTGCTGTAGAACTCACTGTAATCTTGGAGCCCTATTGAAGCAAGGTTGTCATTGTTCCATATGAGCATTACTGTACAAATCCCTAGCACTAGTGCAGCTACCAAATGAAAGGAATCCAGGGATAGCAAAAGCACTTGTTCTCGGGAACCCTCAAAAAGAAGAGCAATGAAAAAAAANAAAAAAAACCAGGAGTTGAGAGGGAATAAAAAGTTGAAACACATAAATGGAAGCTGTCGCGATTCCTTTTTGGTATGAGATTTTTCTCCGAGATTCTTACGGAGTTGTTTTGTCAATGGGTGGAAAGGCAGGGTTCACTATTTCACAGCAAGAGAATCAACTCACTTCCGAATACCATTTATAACTTCTCTAACTTTTCTAACCAAAAGCAAAGCAAATTTCCTAACCAAAAAAAAGTGGTGTCTCTTGATGGAAAAATTCTTAAAATCACGGTAGCCCATATCTGTGAGCATTTCTTAAGTTATTTAGCCAATGTGTCGAAGAAGAGGAGGGCATTGCTGTCGAAATGACAGGAAAAGTCTCAGAACATGACTTTTTCTTGAACAATCCATTTCTGACCATGGACAAGGTAATGGTACTGAAGGGCTTCTTGATCGAAAATTCTAGCGCTGCAAATTATCGTAGCTAACAACTGATTGCATATACAACAAACGTGCTCCAATTCGAATCTTACAACACTGGGCGCAGTCTCTTCATGACCGTCGAACACGTCCTCTTTTGGGAATTTTCACAAGAAGTGGCTTGGCCCTTACTGTGCCCTAACCACCTCGACAATGGTTCCTTGGCATTTAGGGCATCGATTTTTACCAATGAAAAATTACCAGGAGCATTTTTGCAGCAAACCGCGTCTCTCATGGCAGACTTTCCACCTATGTACCGCTTAATTTCATCAGAACCTACGCGTAACGTCCCAAGGGATGAGGCAATTTTTCCCCAACTCAAAAGCTTTTGGTTTCATGCCACCAACTTCACGAATCGCAATTTCATTTAGATTTATCGCGATTTCAGCAGGGATTTTTTTCCTCTCTCTCTCTGAGAATATTTTTTACTGCGGGAACAAAATTTCTTCATTCTTCTGGGGCGGTTTTTCCCATTGAAAAGAATTCTCACTAACTCTCCTTTCGCCTCCACTGAGGAGGAAAAATTGAATTTCTTTTCACCCTCTATGTCCAGTGCTAATGGGTGAGGGAAGTGTTTGAAAAAGAGCATTTTCATTGTAAAGTATTAAAACGAACGTATTGTGATCTCTTTCTTGAGAAGAGATAAATGAATAGGATAGTTATGGGTACGGCCAAGGCTAACAGGTTCCCAATTGTGAGTAGCAACCAAAACGTTACCTGCAAAGATACATGAAGATTGAAGGCACAGTTCGCGATAATTCAATGGGCGGGTATGTCAATGACGTGTCCGCCTCTCATTCGATGTCACGTCAGACAGTCTGACGCGGGGTCGAATGAGAGGGCGGACACGTCATTGACATACCCGCCCATTGAATTATCGCCAAAAGTGCCTTTAAATGCAACGATTTTTAGGAATGTCGGAACTTTTTCCGAGGACAGACTATGTTTTGGTTTTTCCGGAGAAGTTGCTCCGTGAATGAAGTTACCTAAAGCTCTACTGTCTCATAGAATGAGGCAAATCCGCTTTCTCCTCTAGGTCTGTTTTGTGTTTTAATATTCATTTCCAAAATAGTGCCACTACTCAAACCAGCTGGTAACATTTCGACAAAAAAAAAGCCAAATTAGTAGAGCTTCGGTTTCTTATGAGAAGTCAGGACTCCTACCGCTGTATATACATTTCATATATCATGAAAAACCCACATTCCCAAAAGGATTGTTGGTGAGAGCTTCAGCTTGTTCCTCCTGTAATTGATCCTTTACTTGGCTTTTCTTTCAAAAGTTTTGTTCGTCTAATACGCAGCTACAGTAATTGTAATCAGGATGTATGTGACTAATATGCGAAAAAAGCAACGAACGTACAGTTTTCGTCTGTGGCTGAATGCTTTGTGCAACTGCCTGGGGCAGCTGTAGTAACATAGCAATCAAATTAATTGTTGGTTGCTTTAATACGATTCTGCTCCGCTTTATTTGTATGCCTGCTTGGCAGGCTCTTCGATGAGCATCTTTGGCGATAAAAGGTGTTTTGGGGGAACTACAAAGCCCAACTGCGCCCACACAAAATAGCTACATCCTGCGCATCGCCTGCATAATAAGTACTACAGTTCTTCGTATCATTGTAAGCAACTTGTGCTGAATCCAGGGACCTCTGTCGAAACACATGGCGAAGACTCTAATTCGAAATTCTTCGTTCGCAAAATTCCAAAATGTAGGGTATTCTCTGAAGTGACTGTTAGTGTGGTCGGACGAGATTGTGACCCTTGAAGGACTGTTTGGACAATGNGCATTTACAGCAAACGTGCTCCATTCTGAATGACATCGAACCCGGCGAGATCATTGAACAAGTCCTATAATGGGGGTGTCGAGTGGCAGGCGCCAGAACCAATTTGTAAGCCATTCCTGCGCCCTGTTAAGGCGACTTTTCAATTCGAATATGTCCCACATGACCTTCTCTAGAGCTTTCCATTTCAAAAACGATTCTTCGAAATCATTTTTGTTTACACCGTGGCTTGGGTGTAAGTGTTGTAGCCGAAGCTGGAAGTGTAGGTGTGCAGCGGTTTTTCCCTGAGAAAGACTTCGTAAAATTGCTGAAATCGGTCACTGCCTCCATTTCCAAGGATGTACGATGTAGATTGAATGATGCCGGCGATTCAATGATGACGTGCTCTAAGCGAAAAAGACGAGAGAGACTATTAACAGCTGAATCACCTGCTCCGAGATGTTCCAACTCGATCAATCGGGCATGTAAATCGGAATGTATATCTCATTTATATCGATCTCTTACAACAATCTAATCAAGCACTTTCCGAGGGCTGTCATATCCATTGCTCGCTTGTGTTCGATTTCATGCTGATTAGATCGCTATTGACTGTTTGAAACCCAGATCTCTTCTCTAAGGTGACTTTTTCACTCGTCATATAGGATTTTCCTTCTCACAAGGTCAAATGGCCGCTTGACAAAGATTTCATTTGATGAAATCTATTTTTTTACTTTGGTTTAGAACGCTGTGACAATGATCAACTTCAGTTCCACCGTGCTGATACCTAGCAAATGACCAATCAATTTTAGGAAAAAGTGGAAGATATAAATCAAAATCTTAGCGGTAGTGACTCATTCTTTCAAAACGTTTAGGTATCTCTACCGACAAGAATCCTTTCGATGATCGCTTTCCATCATGTCTCATTCAAATTTCTATTTCAAGTAGATCAAAACACCCTTTTTTACTTTCTTCTTTTCCTTTTTCCGTACCCTGTAGAACAACATGTACAGTGGTCTTATCGGGGAGATGGGCACTAGGAACGGTTTGTGTAATCGATCCGCCGCACGCGGCTGTCGCGGACCATTTGCCTCTTTATAACAGTTCTAGCGTTTTTCATACAGCTCAATCGCTATGCTATTATTACTTATGGCATGATTCTACTGTTGGTTCTTTTGCTCCTGAATTTCATACTTGCTGCTGCATTCTGCTACAATCCTTCGCGCGCGACATCTCTCTTGCCGCGACGTGGCAGGTTCGTTCCTACTGCACCACACCCGGTATATTGCAATTGGACTGTTGTTTTATTTTACCAGATTGCTTTCTCATATTCGTGTAGCTCTTTTCAAAACAGGTTTTTATCCCTTCTCCCACGCTCAATCCATTCCTTTAGCCACACGAAACTTTGCAGTTTATCTACAGTATGGATGTATTGAGTGCAGATGCTGGATATCCCTTTTCTATTGAGTCTGTTCGACGTACATAGCGATAGAATAAAACCGATGGGTATGTACCTCACTCCTTGCACCAAGTACGTCCCCTACAATTTTCGACATAAGCTTTTGTCCGAGCACGTTGAAAAATAGAACTCCTGGCGGTGGTGTTGATGACGATATTCCGTCGTATGGGACAAGTGGACACTCTGAAAACGCTGTTCCCAGCTGTTTCTTTCGCAGATGAGCTTGACCATACCTTCTATTCCTTGTGGCATTGTCACATCCGGGGGATCTTCGGATTCACCGAGATAATCCTCAGTCACTTCGATGAGTAGTGTGGTGAGGAAAGTTGAAGTATTTCCAACCACCTCCATTGAGTAGAGATGAACGAATGAGACATATGGAGTTGTGTTTTCTTTTATATCGTTCAGATTATATCAGTTTCTATGGGTATCATATGATATTGTGAGGTTGTAAGACTGATAAAATAGGCAGTAAGTTTACTTTCACAGTTCCACCTTGTTATTTTGCCCCTTGAGCGCTTAGAGGTACTCCTCTGACAGGTTTCTTTCAGTGGAAGGGGACTTCGGAGACTGACGAGCATTACTTTTCTTGTTTTCTTCACCACCCCACACATCAATTATGACGTCACCATGTTGTATTTCGAAAATAAAATTGAGTTTTCCGTCGTCCTCTTAACTATAGTAACTATAGGACTATCAAGATTTTGCAATTTTACTCTCTGACTCTGTCACTGCTTGTACACCCAGTGTAATTACCAGTCTGAAAGAATGTGACTTTTGGCAGAGGTATTATGGCATAAAACGGGTGGTGCCCGACGTTTTCCGACGAAAGTTTTCATTTTTTCGGGGGTGAGTGGGTAGGGAGGGATAGCCGAGTGGATAAGAGTGTAGGCTCACGTCTGCACTTAGAGAGAGTGCGAGTTCGATCCCTGCCCAGACAAAATCCATGCGTTGCAAAACATGCAAAAATTGTATCGGTACCAGCGTCAGGCCCAGGTTGACAGGGCGGCCGATGGAGAAACCCAGTCACAACAATAATGTCAATAACAACTTTAGAAGTCTCAAAGAAATCAGTGATAAAGCTAGGACGTCACTCGGAAGTGGCGCTCAGGACCCTCGCCCGAGTCCTATGGAGAAAATGCGAGGGCTACCGAGGAGTGAACTGTCTCGGTCAAAGAAGTCTGTTCGAATTGGGTCTCTGAACGTAGGATCGCTTACTGGGAAGTCCCGAGGGATCGCTGATCTGAGGAAGCGCAGGAACATTCAAGTCCTATGCCATCAGGAGACCCGCTGGAAAGGGCCAAAGGTCAGAGAAATCGGAGAGGGTGTCAAGCTCTTCTACAACGGAGTAGACACCCAACGAAATGGCGTGGCCATGGCTGTGGCGGACTCCTTTAAAAACTCTGTCTCCACCGTCAGCAGAATCAGCAGTCGAATCATGGCTGTGAGGATACACACAAAGGACGGGTACTGGGCAATAATATCCGTGTATGCCCCACAGGTCGGCTGCCCTGTCGTCGAAAAGGATGAGTTCTATCTGAATGAGAGAGGATTCTTGATCTAGCCACAGCCCACGACTTAGCAGTATGCAGCACCTTCTTCGCGAAAAGGAAAGCCCGGAAGCTAACCTACAGCACTGGAGGGAAAGAAACAGAAATAGACCACGTGCTCGTAAGAAGGTCATCCCTCCAAACTGTGGAGGACATGAAAGTAGACATGAAAGTGGAGAAGACCTGGCTCCACGGCACAGGCCTCTCCTAGCAGACATAGCCATCGATGGTAGTGAAGTCCGTTAGGAACGGCGAGGATATCATCCTAAAGAAGCCCGGTGAGTTCAGGCGCAGGTGGAGGGAATACTTTTATAGGCTCCTAAACGAAGAATTCGCCCGTAAGGAGAGCCCTCAATTAGAGGCAACGGCTGGCCCCATCGAACTCTGGACAGAGGATGAGGTGCGTAGAGCAATGGGAAAGATGAAGTTTGGAAAGGCAGGTCTGGAAGGGGTATCAATCGAGGCATGGAAGCCGCTTGGAGAGCACGGGATAAGGTGGCACACCCGATTCTTGAACAAAGTGACCACTAAAGCGCGAACCTCAGAGGCATGGAGGAGCAGTGCTATTGTTCCCATCTACAAACAGAAGGAGGACACGATGGAGTGTTCCAACTACCGGGGGATCAGGTTGACCGCTGATACGATGAAACTGTGCGAGCGGCTGGTCGATTCAAGATTGAGAGAATTGGTCCCGATATTACAGAAGCAGTTCGACTTCATATCTGAAAGGTCCAGAACGGATGCCATCTTCATAGTCAGATAAGTTATGGAGAAGTATAGAAAAAAGCGTAGACCCTGCTACCTGGCCTTCCTCGATCAGAGAAGCATTCAACCGTTTCCCGCGACAAGTCCTCTGGAGAGCACTCCAGAAACGAAACGTTCCAGATCATGTGATCTCTCCGGTCAAGGACATGTACGATGGTTCCACGATAACAATACACACCCCACACGGCCAAACCGGAGCAATAGATGTCACGGTTGGGATACACCAGGGATTAGCTCTGAGCCCGTTCCTCTTCCTGCTCACAATGGACGTCATCACAGAAGAACCCATGGATGGACCACTGAAGACCATCCTTCTACGCTGATGACATCGCTCTGATAGCGAAGAGCAGGGAAGAACTCCAGGACGAGCTCCAGAAACGGCAGAAAGTGCTGGTGGAGAATGGACTCCGGCTGAACGTAAACAAGACCAAATTCCTCAGCTCCGAGGAGGGCACAGAGTCGTCGACGGTCACGGGAAAGTCATCCACAAGGTCCAGGACTTTCGATACCTGGAGAGAAATCTAGCCGCTGATGGTAGCATGGACCAGGCTGTGAAAGCGCGAATGAAAGTGGCATGGATGAAATGAAGGGAGTCCTCCGGTATCCTCTGCGACCGTCGGTGCTCCAGGACTCTCAAAAGAATGGTGTATCTGCCAGGATTAAGGCTCACACGGCAGCGAGTGTTGGCCGGAGGGTAGAAACCGTGAAAAACAGGTCCACTTCGCGTAAATGAGAATGCTCAGGTGGGCCTGTGATTGGACGCGACTGGTCGGATCAGAAATGAAGACGTCAGGGCGGCTATGCGAACAGCCCCAGTCCAGCTGAAGATGAGAGAGCAGCGCCTGCGATGGTTCGGGCATGTGCTGAGAAGAATACAGAATCATCCGAAAAGGGTGGCAATGGAGTACGAAGCTCAGGCTTCGAGAAATCAATACCAACAAAAGTACACAGAAACTGTTGGCCATCTTTATTTACACTATTAGTCTCCTATATACATCAGAAACATTATTACTCGTACAAATATTGGCGAGTATTTACCCTACAATACCAGCATGAAGTCATGGCAGCTATAGATAAACTAAATGGAAATTTCTGCACATATACCTATCGGACCTGCATAGATACAGCCGCATTCGCAATTGTGTTCATAAAGAGATGGGAGGTCACATAGTTATGAGTGGAACATCGAAGAATTACGATTTCAAAGAAAAAATACTGAAAATCCATAGAACCCCGAATTCAATTGCGACGCGCCCACAGACTCAACTGCGATACGGGCCTGTATGTCAGGACTCTTCCGGTCGGTAAATGGGAAAGAATGTTAATTGACCGGAAAAGAACTAGACTAGTGAACTATCACAAGTGGTACCATCAATCTCTGATTACAAAAGATATACGAGTAAAAATGTGGTAAAACGTTGACTTTCTCTAGAACTATAGTGAGAATCTCGTCTTGGCCTCCTGAGCAATCATTTTTGCTATTGCTAAACTTGATGTCGCACCTGGCGATGGAGCATTACGAACGTGAAGGACCATTTTCGATAACTGAAACGAAATACGAATGGGTGAATAACTCCGTGAAAAATCAACTGTCCAACATGAAACTAAACATCAAAATTTTCACAACACGTCGCACATTCTGCTTCATTTTCTGATCATAGTACACTTCACTTGCATTTCGCTTATAAAATGCTATGGGGAGAAAACTAGGTGCTTTTGCCGTAAACGCCCCCCTGGAGATGGAAATTCTATGAAATCATCAATTCACGGTGACGATGGGTGGGCCTACTTTGATGTTTTCCTGTCCATCATTTACCCTTATGTGACTATGCTCAGCCAGCTACTGAGAACACGTTTATTCTCAACACAAGTGTTATCACTAAGGGTAACCAGAAACTGTTGGTGCTTCCTTATCTGATAACAGTTAATTCAGTCTCCGACATGGTCCCTATCGCCTTTTGGCCAACTTGTAGGCCGAGAGGGGGTTTGTTGCACAATATGAAAAATTGTGTACTGTGAACTTTATGTTAGCGAATTCCCAGGTTTCTCGAGTGCGTGTGCTATCTCAGTACAATAAGCCAGTTGTGACCCTAACTCTTTCAGAATTGGTCGTGAATGGTCATACTTTAAACGAAACCCCAGCGAAAAATCTCCGTCTCAGAAGTTTACATGTATGAATCCATCGCAACCAACCCCCCCTCCCCACCCCTTTTTCTTAATCATTATTCAGCTCGATTCGTAAATTTATAAAAAGTAATCTTTAATAGAAGAAGACCAATGAAATAACTTAACAATATCACAAATCTAAAAAAAANAAAAAAAATGGACTGACCGGTCCTGTACCGCTGTCGAAAACGAAGTCATCGACAAGGTTTCCCTCAATATCCATGGCTTGAGCACGTACACCAGTGAAACCTCTAAAATTCACTGGGCTTTTGATTGCCTATATTAGACGGGTCAGCAAATGGTTGTTGCTCAACAAATAATGTTTGAATAAATCTCTAATATAAATAAATAGAATACCAAGCTGTTTCCGAATACTATAAACGCAGAACTAGTACAAAGAAGGGAATCTTCCTACTAACCTTACCACATCGCTTCGCTTCAATTCAGGTACAAACCGCTGAAGCTGCTTGACTTGAGCACTTATGAAAATACCACGGTACATTTCTCTCACTCCATATTTGAAATATTTCATGCTCAACTTCTGTAGACCCCTAAATGCCAGTTAATAGCTAGGGAATCCACTATTCAAAGGCATCCTAGGTGCAATTGTAAACAAAACAATAACGAACCTAAACGACATGGATTCGAAAAGGTCGTATGGGTTAATTTGGAAATACCCATATCCTTCTCGTTTGAATGCGAGCACAGCATTTGGACCCAAAATTATGTTACCGTCCATTCGCGGAGTAAAATGAACGCCGAGGAACGGCAAGCCCGGATTGGGTACCTGCAAATAGGGTTATGCTATGCCTAATCAAAAAAAGTTCCGCGTTTTAGGTGAAATAAACCTACTGGGTAGATGTTGCCTCTACAGAGGTAGCGTTTTTCTGGTTTCAAGTAGAGGTACTCCCCTCGGAACGGAATAATCTTCGGAAGTGGTGAGCACCCAGTGAGCTGCGCGACACGATCGGATTGCAGCCCCGTACAGGTAATCAAGTTCTTCACATGGAACATACACTGCAAAGATTTAATGTCTAGGTCCTTCTAAGAGACATTGAGATCTTCAAACAGCATATCACACTTACATTATGAGGGCTAGAATGCAGAGCAAGTGGATAATTTGGATCAGGTGATGATGAGACCCCTTTNGATCGGATTGCAGCCCCGTACAGGTAATCAAGTTCTTCACATGGAACATACACTGCAACGATTTAATGTCTAGATCCTTCTAAGAGACGCAGGGATCTTCAAACAGCATATCACACTTACATTATGAGGGCTAGAATGCAGAGCAAGTGGATAATTTGGATCAGGTGATGATGAGACCCCTTTAAGAGGGCAATTCACATAAACCTTTAAAAAAATCATTTATTCTGTTACAAGCCAGTCCAACTTCTTTCTAAACAAGGAAATCTACTTACAGTTCCACCCTTCTTTTCAAAATCTTTCGAAAGAGCTCTTGCCACTTCTCCCCAGTCAACAACACCCGTATGAGGAGACCATAGCGCTTTGAGACCCTGAAATTCACATTCCTTATTTGTGGTTCCTTGACGGAGCAATGTATCTAGATAACGTGAACTCAGAAAATATCTTACCCTACAATGTGGTTCATATTCTTTAATTTGCGAACCATCGATCATCTTGATATCCTTGCATTTGTTCTTTTGAGATCTTTCGTACAAATCCTGTGAACAAGAGGTGACTTCAGCTCCATTCCATTAAGAAAATAAAACGAAGAATAAAAGCAGCTAAAGATTAAAAAATGCCTACATCGAGTCGTGGTATTTCCTCTGGCTCGACAGCCACAATCAGCTTTCCAGCTTTATTGTGCGGAAAATTGTTCTCCGCAAAGAACTTGTAGGCGAGATCATTACCTAGACAATTTGACAGTTATTGATTCATGTTTGCAACATATCCAAGTAAGCAGAAATTGCAGCAAACAGACCTTCGACGCAAAGTTTTGCCTTCAGAGTTCCCGGCTTATAGTAAATTCCGGCATGAATTACCCCACTATTGTTACCACTTTGATGTGGCGCTGAAAACACAATACTGAAAAAATGAAGATGCTGTTTGCTCCTAAAAAGATGCACTTTACGAGTGACAGAGCATTCGCAGCGCGTGACGCTCCATCCTTCCGATAGGAGCAGATCCTCAAGAAGCTGAGAACTGACAATCAGGGAAAAACGTCAGCGATTATGAAGTCAATAAACGCTCTGAAGTCTTCTTCAGGGGAATGCATGAGGGCCGAGCCAGTACTGGAGCAATTGGGAGCAAGATCTGATGAATATCAGTGAGCGGTAGACCGTTCTTCAGTGAGGACGAGTTGATCAGCGTTCGTCTTTATCGAATCGATCAATTTGATAAGGACGGACGGACCAACGCAGCTCCCAGCTAATTCGGAGTTTAAGGTGAGAAAGATAAACTCCAACCTGCGTCAATGAATTAGACATATAAGACAACCTTTTGTTCAGGTTCTTGGACATTTTCCAGACCCGATTTTTTACCGACTTCAAATTCACAGTGGAGTAAATCTCCGAGTCTCAGTCTCTCAGCTTCTGATCCCATGGAAGGGCCTCCGCCACATAACTAGATATGTTGAAATTGTATATGTAACACTCACACATTATACTCTCCTTTTCGAGCTGAACTATGTTCAATTTGGGATACTCGATTTTCAGTTGACGCGCTGTTGCGCTGCCGACGATACCTCCACCTACGACCGCTATGTCGAACTTCTGTGGAGGGCTGTACAATTGAACAGATTAGTACAGAAGACATCAAAGGGTTAAGAAAGCAAGAAACTTTAGGCTACAATGAAGCATTAGCCTCATTACTAAAAGCCATTAAAAGTAAATTTCTGAGTATGTCGTGGAAACTCAGTAAATCAAAGGAGTCGTGATAATATGATATCAACGCGTCCTTGGAAGAGCAAGGCTCTTACGAATTAACTCAGAAGCGTATCCACCCAATCAGTATGTATCACTGGTATGCCTTATCATAATCACATCAACGAAACGAAATCAGCAAGATCATTTGGACTGCCAAAAGAGTGGAAACCAGTGGAAAATGTATAACGATAATTGATGCGCAGTTCGCTTCATTTCATAGTTTTACCCTAGATAGTTCGGTCTGAACCTAGAGACCAAGATCAGTGCTGAATGAAGTGAAATCACAACGGACTCGCGGGCGTGCTTATGTACGACAATCCGACCAATCGATAATCTATACTTAACCATTGCTGTTCACGCATGACAACTACTGTAGCTAGAAGCTTCAAACTTACTTATTAGCCGCTGGTGCCTGTGACGCACATCGTATGGCGTGTATTTGAATCAGATGACGAGAATTTCGCACAATAGCATAGGGTAACGTCATGATTATTGAAATTCTGAAACAACTTTCTGTCATGATTGAACAGCACGTCACAAAGGTAACAAAGATTGCTGAGATACAACTGCTTTACCGTCACTATATGGTCACCCGGCTACCGACAGAGTTTGATAGCAACTGAGACTTACTCTATAGCATGAGTGATGGTCTGTTCAATGAACAAACATAACCGATAAGCACTAAGGTAAAGATATGCACGTAATTCATCGGTATAAGGTAAGGTAGGGTCGTTTATGGAAGAAGTTTCCAGAAAGTTCTTTTAAGAAGCCGCAAAAGTGGGGGACCTTCACTGACTTCTACTAAAACGATATCGATTTGAATGCGATTGTCAAGATACCGTGAGAATCCCAAATACAAAAACCACACTGGAAACCAAGTGATAAACCAGGACTGATAACATAAGTAGGGGAAATAGCGGGAATTAGTCGGTTTTAAAAAAGTCCGAAAAAAAGTTAACAAATCAATAATCATTCGAAAACTACAAAGGCTGTCCCAAACAATGAGTTAACTGGATCAATTGCTCTTTTACACTGCGTTTCCAACAAAAAAACATTGGAAGGAAAAAAGCAATGACACACAAAGGAGTGAATTGATCACAGTTCAATAGAATAGGAAGGGATGACAACGATCTTACCTGTAGTGTTAGTTATGAAAGTTATCACGAGACGTTCATAATGTCGGGAACGCCCACACAATTGACCTATTTATTTCAAAACCAGTTAAAAACACAAAGCAGACACAAAAAATCTGACTGGCCTTTGTACGGCTGCACCGCGCTCTTAGCATTAGAGCGCGCCAGGTGCAAAGTGAACAATTTACCTAGCCTTACACTTCAGTAAGGGTTCTTCTTTGATTAACTTTTGGACTCACCCCAGAACTATTTCATTCCCTCCCCACAAATCTCGATGTAGACCAAACGGCGTTTCATCTATTAATTTTTAAAAAGAACTGGTCTTTGTCATTGCTACGGTGAAGTGTAACAAAACTCACTGGAGTTGTAGTTACTCCTGCTTTTTTTTACTTTTCTGTAAAGGTCTTCCTGCTGGGTTCGCTTCAAGTGGAGTAGAGACAACATTGATAAGCACCTCATATAGAGGAGATATCGTGCTCCAACGCGAAACGCGATCTCCATCAAAAATCGGTTGTACTAATGTTTACAACAATTCTGTTTTTCGATCAGTCGGGATGGCGTCTGGCGAGATTGCTTGCCCTGGAGCAACTGGGAAGCTGCTGAATCACATTTTCCTTTTCTCGCCTTTCTTGTTCTGTAATTCTTTTCTGTTTGGTTTTAGTTCAAACCTTTCACCTCTCAAATTTATTTGCTTGTTTTAAGTCTTTGTTCTCGTGCGTTATAGCATTTTAACGGAGTAGTAAACGATCAGCAGCTCTGAGATTTCTTTCTAGGGAATGTTTCGACTATCCACTACTCGTTTGGTGTCTCTTTTCAACGGCAACAAATACTCGTCCCTCTCACGTTCATGCTTCGCTGTTGCAGCAACCTCAAAAGCTGCACCAGAAGAAAGTCTAGAGAAAATGCGGTACGTTTTCTTTTTTCCAAGTGACATTTGGATGTTTTTTTTTTGGTTTTTTTCTATGTGATCTAGAGAATTAAGTACAAGTTGCTTGCTGTTTTACCATCCTCAGTACCACAAGCTCGTAAGCAGTAGAAATCCAGAGATTTAGAGATAGAAAGATTCAAAGATCCAGAGGTTTAAAAAAATCTACCACTTCTGTAATGCTCTCAACAATTTATTTTCTAGATATAGGGCAGTCCTTTCCACAGCTACACTTTGAAGGAAGCTTTGGGTAAATTATGTTATTCCCGAGACTAACTGTTTTGTACAAACGGCGTCTTGAGATTTTAAACTGTAGAATGTTAAGTGGAGTAAAAGGCATAGGGAACGGTGGGTAGTGACGAATTCGTGAAATGGAACAAAGACACTTTGAGACCTTTTTATTTAATATATCAAAATGCTTGAATTGAATTGTGAATTGAAATTGTTGATGGTGTCCGGTATGCAGTGATTTCGCAGCCGTTGTGAGAAAATGAACCTTCTCAGATTTCATATGAAGGACCTTTTTCTATTTATCTGAATCTAAGATAGATGTTTTGTTTGGAAAATAACCTCGTTTGTTCGAGGTTGAGGAAAAGGGCCGGAAAAGGAGCTGAAAATGATTTTTTTCCCTTGGTTTTCGTGACTTTTCTACATTGCTTCCTCTTTTCAGTGCACGTCTATTGTATCAGAGTAAGAAACGTGGTATTCTTGAAAATGATATTCTTATTGGTGACTTTGGGGATAAATATGTTAACAAAATGGATCGCGAGACGTTAAAGGCTTATGACACGGTGAGTACACACTTTTATAAGTTTCTTTTGTTGTGTAGCAGCGCCGACTGTTATTCAATTTTTACTTCTGCTTGATCATTTATTGTGATTATGTCTTAACAAGGCTCTTTCCTTTGAAAAAGTTGGTTATGCTGTACTCAAAACTCGTAGCAATAAAGCCTTCTCTAGTTGATCAATGGTGATATCATGGAATGGGATCTTTATTATTACATGAGTGGTAAAGAAGAGCCTCCAGCCGAGATTGCTAACTCCAGTGCTTTCCAGCTTCTAAAGAAGTTTGTTGATGAAAGAGAATTTGCAAAGACTAAGAACCTATAGAATGTGTGACGTTCCTTCGTTTTTCTTTGGAGATTGTTTTCCCTGTATATCTAGTTGTTGTTGTGAATATAGAAGTTTCCGGTGATTTCAAATCATGCATATTGTTTATTGTTTCCTTTTTAGGCGCTTTAGAGTAGTCTTGTTGTACTGTCATCAGAGGTAATAAATAGATTATCATCACAGTGAATATGTCACATACTAGTTTACATTGGGTGATTTACGGAATTGAATTAAGCGATTGGAGCCGATGAAAGTATGGGACATGACATGATTATTAATGCTGAAGTACTGAAATAGCTACTCTAGAATAGCTGGACATGCTGTCGTTCAAACTAGGAGCAAAGTTCTGAGCGCTTTTCGCTCAAGGACTAATTTACAACCCGCTTATCAGTTGCTACTGTTCTTTCTGAGCGTCACGATCCTATTCAGGTCTTTTTCGTAGTAGTTCACTTGCCTCCTTGGGGCTATCAAGTCGTTACTTTACTTTTACATATCCTCTGGGCCTACTTTTACAACGGGTTCTCCTGGAAAATTGAGTTCAATGTGTTAGGTTTAATGTGTATAGTCTTTAACCTGTCTCTGTCGTTCGTGTCGTTCGGTTGATTTCCCAGTGCGCTCGCCTGACTGTCATGTAATGTGGCCAACCATTCCTTGAACGGAAATTTGGTTTTTCTATGTAAAAGACAAAAAGAATCGAGGCTTACTTTCAATTACGTCATTATTTTGTTAATTACAACATTATTACGTAATTCGTCAATTATCGCAGTTCCGCCACTTATCGCTTATCACTTGGTCTAACTGTAAGCAATGCTGGCCGCAATAATGCTGATCTGTGCATTCCCTAAAAGTGAGCATGTTTGGAATTCCTGAGTTTCATCGATCAACAATGCTGATACCATGAGATTACTTGAGCACCTAAAAACCCGCAGATCGATTCCGGTGAAGATAGGTTTTCAACGAAACTGACTTCGCATCAACTTTCACACTGTTAGACGCGCCGCGAGGCAATTGTAGTCATTTGGAATCAGTGATCTCACTGCACCCAGGCTTTCTCTCCAGCTCATTATAGCTGTTCTTATCCAAAATGATGGAAATGGCTGAGTTGTTGATGGATGATGTGGGCCCGTCGGTATTTATCGTCATCCTCTCCCCTCCCCCNCCCCCAAATCCCTACTCCCACTGTCTTCCTCCGCTCTGCCCAGATGATAACTAATTGGTAAGGAACAAGAGCATTTCCCAGAGTTCAATCTGAGTAAATAGCTTTGATAACTAATGAAATCGGACTTAGTAAATAGAAAAAATTCGAACTAATCTTGACCTTACTTCCCATGGACACTTTCCCTACTCAAGTTCCCTTCTCACCTTTGTTATCTGCCCATTAAACTAGAGCTCTAGGCAAAATAGTCAACTCTGGTCGATCCAACTGCATAACATCCATAATCGTCTGCTCTTGAAAGAGCTTGTTCCAAAATTCTTCTAGCCCCGCCCCTCGCAATCAACTATTTGTTAGCTCACATCTTACAGTGTGTCGTTTTTCAACCGGAAATTAAATACATGAATTCACAACATCTTAAACTTGCGGGGGTGGGGGCGTGGTCAAAATAATTTGGGACAGAGTGTTCCTTAGTGCAAGCGAACTTAAACACTATATAGAGGTGTCCTCCGACTAAGGAACACCCTCTTCCGGTATTTTCGTGCTTCTTATCACAAGCGCAGTACAAGGATTAGAGATGGTGAAGCCGTATTTATCGCAACCCCAACACCACCCAAGTTTTCCTATTTGTTCAGCGGCCGCCTGTGCCCATATCTGGGCTTTGGCACCAGTTTAGTCTGTTTGCTCGTATAAAACACCTCCGAGCAATTATCCTCCTCTACCTCCTTTTTCTACTGCCATAACATTCTGTAAATATAGATCGCACAGGTCACTTCGTCAGTAGTTGCCATGAATGCACATCATGAAATATTTAGGTGTACAAACGTCTCTAATCCCACTCACCTCTGCATAAGATAACATCAACGACGTGATGTTCTTCTTAATAGGGGTGGTGGCGATCTTGTGGTCAATTGAGACGGTAGCAGTACAGAATGCTTCGTTCTCAGGGGCTCAAGGTGTTATCTACTCACCCGGCTATCCTGATGACTACGGTAATCAACTGAATCAGTACTACATAATCACGGTAAGTAAGTTATAAGACAGTTATAAGACTGAAACTCTTTCAAATAGGAGAGGGGAAAAGAAGGGAGGGAGAGAAGGAAAGAAAAGAGACGGGTCATGGATAAACCAGCACCAGGGTCCTGGGCCATGGGTACTGTAACCGATTCTATTCTCCCCGTACTTTCTATAACAGTCAAATTATTAGAGACATTTCGTATGCAGTCCCTAGCGATAGCTTTTATAGTATAAACCTCTATAAATCTGTCAAGAAAAGATTTTTTTGTCACCCTTGGAAAGTCTATGATCGAAGCAATTGCAAACTACCCCTACAGCCGGTTTTATAGGTGGATCCCGGATATTTCATTCATCTAACGCTGTACGATTTTGAGACGGAAGCTTGCTGTGATAAGTTGTATATTTGGAATGGAGCGGATACTTCAGCAGCAACGATTGCCAAGTGAGTGATTACGGCAGGAGCGCCACTTGCCACAACACAGTATCTCCCTCAACCAAAGACCTTAGTCTTTGGTTGAGGGAGATACTGTAAGAGGCCACTGGCTGCTTTCATAGTCCATGATTTGGCCCGCGAGCGACCGAGCGAACGAGCGATAGGGGCGGCGCTTACCCGCGGTATCGACTAGGATTCAGTTGTAAACAAAGTGCAAGCGCCGCCCCATCGCTCGATCGCTCGCTCGTGGGCTAAACGTGGACTATGAAAGCAGCCACTCAGCTTCAAGCATATGACGCGTGCGGTGGTCGCGACATCGCTTTGTATTTCCTGCTAAAGAAATTCTTTTTTCAATAGACAAAACGGAAGAACGCATCGCAAAAATTAATTATATCGTGATCAAGCCTATATCAGGAAATTACTGAAGATCAGAATTAAATAAGTAAGTAAATAACAACTTCCAGTGTGTCTGGAGATGCTACCGGGATGACGTTTAGCTCATCTGGTAATGTAATGACATTGTTATTCAGTACCGATATCACTGGGCAGGAGCGTGGATTTGCTATTCATTACGAAATGGTTCAGAGTAAGGACGCTTTTTGCACACTTATCTAAGAGATATTTCAGTTTACTTTGTTTTTAAAGCCTACCGCCCATGTTCCGTTATGCTTCTATCTAGTGCCTTCAAAATTGTCACTTGGTGCATTCATACTCGGCGTTTGTCAATGGGCCAAGTGGGTGACGCTGCCTGCGGCAGGTGATGGCACTGCATTAATCATCGACGACATACATCGATCAATGCCATCGCTAGGGTTGCAGGTACAGAGTAAAGAGATGGAGAGTCGATGGAAACTTCTGTTTTATTTCAAAGATGCTTCATGAACGACCCTAGCCTTGGAAGGGGCGTCAAACTGGAATGAAGAAAGTCTGCTTATAAAAAATGAATAAGAAGGAAAAACATGTCTACGACCACTCCTCATTATGCAGGGCCTTTTGGGGCTGTCCCTTTTGAACGATCAGTTTTCTGAACTACCCTACTCCAGCAGCCGTCCGCTTCATACAGCGCCCATGACGCCTGTCAGTCCCTCGCTCGTCGCCTGTCGCCCATCGTCAACGCGGAGCATGAATGCACAGCAAGTAATCTGTTCAGTCTGACTTCTTTATTGTCTATTTGTTTTTTTAAGAAGACACACAGTACTCGGAACCAAGCACATGCCAATCTGGACTATTCACATCTGGACTTGGGTTTGTGACTTCACCCAGTTGGCCGTCCAATTACCCCAACGATATCACTTGCAACTACCTGATGACAATGCCTAAAGGCAGGTAAGCTAACATGGAAATTCATGAAGTAGATGAAAGCGCTTTCAAACTTTGGCATTGGCCTATTCTGGAACCCATTTTGAATTTCACTTGTTCACTTGGTAGCATATCACTGTTCTCCTGGGGTGGTAACTCTGGTTACTATTAGGGAATGGGGCCTAGTGGTGCGTAAAGAAATGGTAAAGGGAGCTTACAGTAACTTCACTGCGCCCTACTCATGAAATACACGGGCTATTAGTACTGGACTACCTTCTCTGGCTTAGCGCTACCTTACCGGAAATATTAGTTCATTCTTCCATCCTGTACGGGACCTAGAGTCTTAAGGGAAAAAACTCTTGAGAGCCTCTCTCAAACAATTTTTGATTGAAAAATTTTTAATAGAAAATTTTTTCGTAAGCAGAGTAATGCTGACGTTCGTGGCGTTCTCGACAGAAGCATGTTGCGACAAAGTCGAAATTTACGATGGGCCAAATGCAACGTACCCGAAACTGGCTATGTAGGTTTTTCAGATTGGTTCGAGTTTTCCCCACTGATTTTGACATTTCAGACTTTCCGGAAATTCGGTGTCCAATACGACATACTATTCAACTCAGCAAAGCCTATTTCTCACGTTCTACTCTGATTATACTCAAAACGACAAAGGATTCAGTGCCTACTACAAACAAGTCTAGTTTGCAATAAAGCCTGAGTATTAAATCAATCGGATGAAGTTTCTCGACAATGGATACTCAGTCCTGGACTGTTTTCAAGAAATTAATTTGTGAAAAGAAAATAGCATCTCAATAAAAGATATCTTCATGCAAATTAGCTTAATTCTCTATTTTGTACAATGTGGGAGAAAGGGCGGGGTGTTCGGGGGTGGTACCAACCAAGAGAGGCATGAATGATTGATCATTTGTTCAATCTATAGGAAAAAGTTACCACGCTTTCTACTGATAGGTCGGGAAACAGAAAACTCCTAAAATGACTTTACTTTTTCGTAAACAATACGCAGAATCATATCGCCTCATTCGAAAGAAGTGACTGCTGTACAGAGGTCCATCGGATTGCAGAAAAATCCCATAGAGCACATGGAGCATGGAGTACCTTTTTCGTAGACCACATCACCCACGATGTTTCCTCTGAAAATCGTGATCGAGTAGATAAATAGAGAAATTAGGCTTAATCCACCAGAACGAAAGAAAAGGGTATCGTACCCAGGCCTGTAGTGGCATGCGACGTACCAAGTGTCCCCACACAATTCACGTACAGATACAGCACATCCTATGAATTGGGTTGTTGCCCAAGCCATCTAAAAACGTCCGTAGTCATTTCCACCTCCAACATCTCCCTATAGAAATGTGTTCATAATGTGAGGGCGAAGAAGAATTAAAAATCCAGAAAGGACGAAGAAAAACTCCATTTGCTCCTTGAGAACTTGCAGGGGCTGGTTTTAATGGGGAAGTAGGCCCTTTATTCTCCTCTCCTCCATTCCATTTCAACTTGGCACTCGATAGCCGGTACCGAACAAAGACCTGATTTGGTGAGTCACCGCGGGAGACGTGTACCTACTTGGGAGTGAAGCCCCAACGTTGCTGCATTCGTGTCTAGCCTTTATACAAGCGTAGAAAGAAAAGGAGTCAAAAAGTACACGGAGTTACTACTGGCCTACTGTCTCATGGGTCATCATTGCCCGACTCTCCCGAATTCGGGAATTTCCCAATGCTCTAACCCAGTGCGAACTATGAATGTGGTATAGGAGAAATTTAAAATATCAAACTCTTGTAAAATAGCTGATTGTGCTTTGCATATGCATAGCTCTGTAGGTGACAGCCATTCCAATGCCATCCACTTTTCTCACTTGACTCCACCAATACTTGACAGCCTGAATCAGTATCAAATGGAAGCTATACTATCTTAGGCAGAAACATACGCCATAAATACCATATCCATAGCATCGACACGGTAACGGGCTGCATTCTTCTTGATGCCATGGATATTTTCTTGAATATTACCCGGTAAAGAAGTGTCGGGTGATTCGGTACATCTGTTTACAGACATCCTGGCTGATGTTTCCAATTCGCAGTCATATCTCTGAAATTTTTTTTCTTTTCGAGTTGCCAGAACTATGAACCATGTACCAGCAGCAAACATGGTTACTAGTAAGCCACCTATCTTACAATTTCTCCAGAAACCGACTCCAATTCCTGTATATCATAAACTTAATAATAATTTTAGAAGCCAATGAAGCTATATAAGAATGTATGGGAAGCAATTTAGGCCAAGGGGCGGAGGCGGTGGTGGAGTACAATCACTACGCATAGTTCGGGAATCGAATACCGGATCGATAACCGCCCGGCCAGCCAAGCTCTCCATCCCTGGGGGTCGCTAAATTAATACCATATCGTCTGGAAGGATAATGCACGGGTTTGTGCATTGGCTGGTTACCGCAAGTCATTGCATAGGTCACATACGCACTCCAACGAAAATACAATTTCGAATGGCAGCCGAATGCAGAGGCGCATCCCAACAACGGGAATCATTGATGCTAAAGGCCTAATCCTTTATCCTTCATAGGGAACAAACAATATGTGCATAAGAGTATCTAAAGTTTTTAAATTACAAGCTTCCTCGAAGTATTATATTTTCCGAGCACTTTGAATTCCTAGCGCCTTCTTGCAAAGCGCGCTGGTCACAAGTTACTATCCAAGCATACCCGAAGTTATCAGGATCACTCTTGGTTATAACACTGGGTCATAACTGGACTGTCAGTCGGAGTTTGTTTTCTTTTACGACCTTTTCATAGACCAGTAAGACCTACCAGCCTTATCATGTTGGCTGCAGATGGAAGGAATCGGCCATAAATCTTCCTAACTTTCCCCTGAGCGAGATTGGACCTAAACAAGAAAGTGCGTGATTAGGAAATCAGTACCAATCATCAGCTAGTTACCCATTACCTGCGATAATTATGCATATCAAGTGCTTTGGTCCTGATCCTATCGTTCATGCCGGGATTAGTAGGACAAATCCGATTGATCTCTGCAAAAGGATATCTGGATACAGTAGAAGAGGTATCTGCTTGACTATAGTAAAAAGTAATGTTGTTCCACATGATCAGATGGCTGGTTGTTCCTGCTGGTAGTCCTAGCCAAAAAGGAAAAGGAGGTTAACAATTACTTCACAGTAGATTAGTTATTGATACGTACCGGTGCTCAGCATCATACAATTAACCGTTTCCAGCGATCAAAATTAATGCTCTGGCAGCCAGGCAATTACGGAGTTTTGTCCATACAAACATCCAGGATCACGCTAACCAATTTGAATTTTTAGTAAGTTGTATTAACGCCTTGTAAGGAAAACCTACGCAACTCCTTCCCACATATGGCAATGCTGCATTCGGAGGTTCACATACATACATGCAACCTTATCTTTTGTAGTCATCCAAGAAGAGGATTCACTAAGACTTTTCTCAGTCAATCCAAGACCACCTTGTGAGCCAACGTTTCTCGTTCAGAGCTGGGAGTCACTACTTGATGCTTCCAAAAAAGATACCACCAAACCAATCTTTGAGACAGTTTAGGCACGAGTTGCTAAACTGCTTTTGAGATACTATGCGGAGCACTAGTGTCTTCTGAGACTGACTTTATCCACCTACTGCTGTCAGACTTCGGGTAACTTGAGTGGTTTTTGTTTTTATGGAAATTATGCTCGACTTTTCGGTGTATTATCAATATACCAGTTGAGCTGCGCACAATACCGTGCGCGTTTCATGACCTTCGATAAATGGACTCCCTCGAAGTTAACTCTGAGCGGATGTAATTATGGAGCGAGTAGAACTAACAAAATATTTTTCCGCCTCTACCTGTTGCCGTCACAATTTAACAGCACAAACAATCTGTAAAAAAAATGAATTTGATATCAGAGCAGCTCCTCATGTCAGCCTTCTTATATTCTCATCGGATCTCCAGGCTGATGCCGGGCGCTCCTCCTTTCTGTGTAAAATTACCTGGTCGCCAACGTTACCTCCAAATTTGGATGCTCTGGTACGCTTGAACAGGAGGTAAAAATTTTGGCACACCTACCTACATACATACACTCAACACTCCGTTTGCGCCTCACCCATCATGAGTTTGGTTTTGCTCAACTCATCTGTGTCTTTTTAGGAAAGCAGTTGGGCTGCGCACGATACCGTGCGTGTCTAATGGCTTCTCATAAATGAATTCCTCGAAGATAACCTGGAGCGTAATCGTCTTGGCAACTCAGTAACCACCCTCTTACGAAAAAATGGACAGTACCGAGCTTCCACCCCAATTAGTTGCATCATAAGCCGTTTATTGGGAGCGCACATCCCTAGCAATCTGCATTTGGCAACCATTTACATACATTTATCTATGAAGTGATTGAGACAACCCAAGAAATCAAAAAAAGACCATCTTGATTTCTTGTTTACCCCTTACCATTGTGGAATGCCTGCATTCCAATGGATATGGAGTGGGAGTTATTTACACTTTGAAATTCATCCGCACCTGTCGCGGCAGGCATTTGATTTGCCTAAGTATTGACGATCTTGTTGGCCAATATATTGTAATGACGAAATTTATGTCGTGTCAGGCAGATCCATATCTACTACTTTCACGCAAACTCTGCCCTGGTGGGTGGAGTGACCTACATTAGTTTTCCCTTTCTGCCGCCTACATCTCTAAAGAATTTGAACGCTCCAAGGCCAACTTACTATTTCCGTGGAAGCTCCGCCCGAGCGGGCGGAGTTTACACCTGTCACCTACCATTAGATTTCCCATCTTGCCGCCTACATCTCTGAAATTTGAACGATCCGGGTCCAAATTGACTTTTTTGAGGAAGCTCCGCCCTCAGCGGGCGGAGTCTACACCTGCCACCTACCATTAGTCTTACCTTTCTGCCGACTACATCTCTACCAGATTTGAATACTCTAGGCCCAGGAGTTCAGGAGTTACGGAATTCCGCTGAACTACAGTTTTCGCGCACGCCCCGTACCCAAGTGGGACGCTCCGCCCCTGGAGGGCGGAGCTAGCTTGAGTCACGTGTATTCAAGGATTTCGGCTCATTCCCCACTTGTTCTAACCTGTCTGAGCTCTTCCACTTGATCTCTAAACGGCAACATATAGATAGTCTTGCAGACAAACAGACAGACAGAAAAACAGACAAACTAACGTTTGCGGTTTATATATAGTAAGGATTTTGGCAGCTGTGCACTTTTCAACGCTAGCACAATCAAAAGTAGAAGTCTAGTCGGTGGCGTATCCCAGCATTTCATAGTGGTTCTGGTTGTTGTCAAGAAAACTGTTGCGTGTTAGGCAGAGTCTAGTGCCTCCTACTACAGAGAGTACATTCTACCATCTATCACTTCCATTTTGGACGCTGTAAGTCGATGAAAGCAGATTTTGCGCAAACCCCGCCCCTAGTGAGCAGAGACTGCACTTGTAACCTACCATTAGCTTTTTCATCTTGCCGGATACATCTCTGCAAAATTTGAACGCCCCAGGTCCGAATTTATTATTTTTGCGGAAACCCCGCCCCCAGTGGGCGGAGTCTACACCTGCCATCCACCATTACTTTTCCCATCTTGCCGCCCACATCTCTTCCAAATTTGAACACTCTGGGTCCGAATCCTTACTATATTCGAGGAAGCCCCGCCCCCAGTGGGCGGAGTCTACACTGGTCACCTACCATTAGTTTTCCCTTTCTGCCGCCTACATCTGTACCGAATTTGAACGCTCCAGGTCCAAATTTACTATTTTCGAGGAGGCCCGCCCCCAGTGGGCGGAGTCTACACCTGCCATCTACCATCAGTTTTCCCTTTCTGCCGCCTACATCCCTACCAATTTTGAACGCTCTAGGTCCAAATTTAATATTTTTGAGGAAGCACCGCCCCCAGTGGGCGGAGTCTACACCTGCCATATATCATCAATTTTTCTTTCTCTGCCGCCTACACCTCTACGAAATCTGAATACTCTAGGCCCATGAGAACAGGAGTTACAGATTTCGGTGAACTACAGCTTTCGCTCACGCCCCGCCCATAGTGTGACACTCCGCCCCTGGTGGGCGGAGCTAGCTCAAGTCACGTGTACCCAAGGAGTTCGGTTCATTCCCCACTTGTTCTAACCTGTCTGAGCTGTTCCAGTTGATTTCCAAACAGCACCATTGAAGATAGTGTTACAGACAAACAGACAAACAGACAAACGTACAAACGCACAAACATACGGACATTTGCGGTTTATATATAGTATGGATTTCTTAGTAATTGTGCCTTTTGCACACGTATAATAACACAAAATAACTCAACACAAAACCCCAACCAATGTGATATTCTACGCCGGAAGTCGTTTTCAAAGAAATGTGTGCCTTTAGATGTGCATTTGTGAGGTTATACCACCTCCCGCAATTGATTTCCCTGTCCCAAGACACAACGGCAAAAACAATTCGGTAAAATCCTAGCTACACTCTGAAAATATTGCGAAATCATGAATTTCATACTATTGATCACTAGTATTGTTGGGCCTGACAATATCTCCTCAAAGGCTGCATAGGGTGAGATGGCAATCCCTTCTCTTACAAGATGTTTACATCACGTTAAGACCTACCGGGGTTTGGATTTGCATTTGTAGTTGTGGTTGCTCTCGTTGTCGTTGTGGTTGTTGGAGCTTTTGTTGTTGTTGTGGTCGTTGGTGCTTTTGTTGTCGTTGTGGTTGTTGAAGCTTTTGTTGTTGTTGTGGTTGTTGGAGATTTTGTTGTTGTTGTGGTCGTTGGTGCTTTTGTTGTCGTTGTGGTTGTTGGAGCTTTTGT